CAGTCATGGAACTGCAGAGAATAAGATTTGTTCAAATGAGTTTCAAAATCCAATTTCTAAATCACAAATTCATTCATGATCAAGATGCCATTATTTACTGCTCCATATTTCAAGAAGAGATTTGAGACTAATAGATGTGAGGATAGGGAAACATTTCCCAACTTATGTGCCTAAGGTTAGGTGCTTAACTCCATATTTGGGGCATCTAAAATAAGTGACCTGATTTTCTGAGGCGCTCACTGCCCCCAGCTCCCATTTACTTAAAAAAAAATGAAAATAATTAACCTGAATGGACTTCAACAGGCGCTTCATATGGTCAGCATTTATTAACAAAATCAGGTGCCTGTTGGACTTAGACTTTATGATTTATCAATTCAAACAAACAAACTTGCCTCCAACAGTTAACACCAGTGGTAGTTAATTTTACTCCCATTGACTTCAATAGGGCCAGGATTTACCCTTTGTGTAGTACTTCCTGTGTTAAGCAGAAAAAAGCCAACACATTCTGTGGTAAAGTCAAATGCCCTGGTGGAATAAATAGTGGTATTTTGTTTGAAATCATGCCCACTGTTTTACATATGTGAGCCTAATTCAGAGGTACTCAAATATTACACTAGAATGGTGGATCCTCTAATACATATACAGAGCCTAAGAAATCCTATGCAATGTAAATAGTACAAATAGGTACTATAAATAAATAAATGCTTATTTAACAATTCTTATAATGCACCAGGCCATATTTACCTATTTGGGATCATCCTGTGATCCTGCTAAATTAGAGGTGACATCTTTCCTGGTTTGCAGGGGTTGTTGTTGAGATTGCCGATCACTGCAAATAAAATTGCATAAAGTACCAACAACAGAAATAAGAGGCTTCCCTTTACCATTTTCTTTTCTGTTAGGCTATGGCTACACTGCGCACCTTACAATGGCACGGCTGTGCCGCTGCAGCAGCGCCGTTGTAAGGTGTGCTGTCTAGCCGCTCTTTATCACCGCTCTTTACCACCTGCAACGAGGGGTGATAGTTTTGTCGCTGGAAGCATGGCTCCTGTCGACGAAGCGCTGGCCACAGTTGTTAAAACTTTTGTTTTTTGGGGTTGTTGTTTTTTTTTTCCACACCACCTAAGCGACAAAAGTTTTAACGACGAACGTGCCAGTGTAGACATAGCCTTAGTAAGGTCTGCACTTGCAACTCAAACTGGATTTTCTCGGGGCTTGTCTTCACTACATTGGCACAGCTGCATAGATGCAGCGCATCTCGGGAAGACGTGCTATGTCAACGGGAGAGTGCTCTCTTGTCGGCGTAATTACTCCACCTCAACGAGAGGCAGAAGCTATATCGGCAGGAGAACGTCTCCCACCAACATAGCGTGGTGTAGACATCGCTTTAAGTCAATGTAACGTACATCATTCAGGAGCGTGGTATTTTCACACTCCTGTGTGACATAAATTTATCAACTTTAGTGGTAGTGTAGACAAGCCCTCAGTGACTAATGACAATTAGGCATATCATACCTCCATTGTTTTTCAGCTCTTTTTGGATGATAGCCTGAAATAATGTACATGTCTACTTCTTGCTTTTGTCAGTTTAAGGCAACAAACACATATGAAACTATGCTACAAAAAACTATATTTTTCTCATGATGGTGATGCTTATTTCAAAAGTAAAGGTAATTTTGATGGAATGGTTTTGCACCCTTTTTTTAAGGTTCAGAAGATGAGATGAAGTGAGACTCAGACCAATATAAAATTCTCCTGACACTTCCTTCAGTTTGCAAGAATTACATCCTTTCAAGATAAGGTAAAATTTGTTTTCCTACACAAAGAATGAGGAGTACTTGTGGCACCTTAGAGACTAACAAATTTATTTGAGCATAAGCTTTTGTGGGCTAAAACCCACTTCATCGGATGCATGCAGTGGAAGATACAGTAGGAAAATATATATACACAGAGAACATGAAAAAATAGGTTTTGCCATACCAACTGTAACGAGGGTGATTAAGGTGAGCTATTATCAGCACAAGAAAAAAAACTTTTGTAGTGATAATCAGGATGGCCCATTTCCAACCGTTGACAAGAAGGTGTGAGTAGCAGAGGGGGGAAAAATTAGCATGGGAAACCGTTTTCTTTTGTGTAATGACCCATCCACTCCTAGTCTTAAAGCCTAATTTAATGGTGTCCAGTTTGCAAATTAATTCCAATTCTGCAGTTTTTCATTGGAGTCTGTTTTTGAAGTTTTTTTGTTGGAGTATTGTGACTTTGAGATCTGTAATTGAGTGACCAGCGAGGCTGAAGTGTTCTCCGACTGGTTTTTGAATGTTATAATTCTTGATGTCTGATTTGTGTCCATTTATTCTTTTGCGTAGAGACTGTCCGGTTTGGCCAATGTACATGGCAGAAGGGCATTGCTGGCACATGATGGCATATATCACATTGGTAGATGTGCAGGTAAACGAGCCTCTGAAAGTGTGGCTGATCAATCACCCTCGTTACAGTTGGTATGGCAACACCCATTTTTTCATGTTCTCTGTATATACATTTTCCTACTGTATCTTCCACTGCATGCATCCGATGAAGTGGGTTTTAGCGCATGAAAGCTTACGCTCAAATAAATTTGTTAGTCTCTAAGGTGCCACAAGTACTCCTCGTTCTTTTTGCTGATACAGCCTAACATGGCTACCACTCTGGAATCTTTTCCTACACAGACATTCACAGAGAAATTTTCCCCAAGCATATTGTTGTTATGAAGACATTTCATTTTTGGATCTCTGTTCTGAAACATGAACAAAATTGTTGTTTCATCCATCTGGTATGACAATTCATGGCTTATTTTCCCTTGATTAGCACAGTAATGTATTTTTAAAAAATACTGATCAATGCAGATGAAAAGTAGATTGACAATGCCACATAAACATGCTAAACTCCGCAAATCTTGATTCTGTCTGGTAAAGGGCATACTAGTCAGGTCATGTCAGCATAGTGCAGTAATGTAGAGAGTTTAATATGTTACCATGGAAGACAGACAATAAATGTGCTGCACATGGAGAAGAAAGAAGGAGCAGAAACCTGATTTCAGGTATCTGGTTCAGCAGTGTAACCCTGTTTCTGGACTGGATGTAGGAAGCTTTATGACAGCAAATGAACGCCACATGTATTTTCTGGAGCCAAATTTGTTTAGCATACTGAACTATATTTGTGGTTCTGTTTGGTTTCTAGGACTTATTTCCATGCCAAATAAAACTCAATCTATTTATTCCAGTGTAGAACTAAACCCTGTAAAGTGACTGGTAGTGCCAGATGTTTCATCTAAGGAAATGTAACGAATGATTGCAAGGAGAGCATCTAGAGTCCAGATGTTCCATGCTTGATAATCATTATTGTTCTAATACAGAAGTTGTGAGTTTTGTGTTCTGAAGAAACCATGCAACATCAGTGCTAAATGAACTGGTTTGTTTATTTTATATATTTTTCCCTCCATTTTCTTGGTTCTGTATAGCAGATACAAATGCCTATGCCGTGTTTGCTTTTTTTCCATGTGCCTGTATCAGAAAAATGAAAAATAAATATTTTACAAGAGCCACCCTGACAATACCTTCTCACACATTCAGAATAGCTACATTTATCTAAGCTCCCGTCCCCTCCCTCAACAGCCAAAAAACCCCTCATATCTAAATTACGTTAATACACCACATTCCTCATGAGTCATTTTCACAGTCACACACCAATTACCCAGTTGTTTTGACACCTTCCACAAATACTTTGACTAAATGGGGGTTGTACTAAGCATTTATTTAGCATTTTAGGTGCTTGACTCAGCAGGGGCAGGTTGTTTTGTGGGAAAGGGTTCACCTCTAATACATGGTAGGCCTCCGGACCCAATTTATTGTTCAAACACAGAAAGTCATGAGTTACATAAAAACAAAGTGATTCCCCTGACCACCACCACCAGGCTTTCCCCCTTGCCTTTCGGAAAGAAGACAAACCCCTTCCTTAAATCCCTTGAGTCACGTGACAGACAAGTAGCCCGTAACTCTTTCCTGGCCTTTTCACCCTATCAATGGTTCTAAAAATATTTACAATGTAGTTCCCTCAAAAGACACTTCAGATGCACCAATTTTTAAAATACTGTACAACTAAAAAGATCATTACAATATATGTAAAAAACCTAGACATTATACAAAGCCCAACTACTTTAGTGTCTGTAAAGAGTGGAGAAGGCATTTTGTTGATCTAGAAGACAGCATTAAAATATTTTTTCTATTCAAATCTAGCACTGATAACTGTGGGGTGTGGGTGGCGGAGTGCCAGAGTGGAGGGAGAAGGGGGACATGGAACAAAATAAATTTGTCTTTCCCTTGGTAGTGTGATTGGAAATGGCAACTTTCTATTTTTCTCTTCTATGACCCTGTGTGCACTACAAAAATAGCCATGATTAATTATAGTAGTGATACATGAGTATCCAAACCATGTTTTAAAATATGGCTATTTTTGCCTGTGTGGATGGGAAAATTATTTGTAACCTTGTTGGTATATATCACTAGGCTAAAATGTGGTTCTCTAACATGATTAGAGCAACAGAGAGTCCTGTGGCACCTTTAAGACTAACAGATGTATTGGAGCATAAGCTTTCGTGGGTGAATGCCCACTTCGTCGGATGCACGAAAGCTTATGCTCCAATACATCTGTTAGTCTTAAAGGTGCCACAGGACTCTCTGTTGCTTTTTACAGATCCAGACTAACACGGCTACCCCTCTGATCCATGATTAGAGCAGTATTTTCTGTCCAAATAGACAAGAAAAAACATACAATAGTATGTTTTGGCTACCAGTATGTTTAAACATGGTAATTATTGACGTTTAGATAGAGCCTATTTGCCTAGACTTCCTACATCAATGAAAGGGTTTTTTTTGTTTATGTAGGTAATCCACCTCCTAGAGGCAGCGTCTACACTGGGGGTCGGGTCAGTTGAACTACGCCACTCAGGGGTGTGAATTTTTCACACCCGAGTGACATAGCTAGGTCAATCTAAATTTTAAGTGTAGGCCAGGACTAACACATGGTCTATACTACAAAATTATGCTGAAAAAATATCACTCCCCCAACTGACATGGCGATGCTGGCAAAGCCCCCAGTGTTGTCACAGCTATGCCGACAAAAGCGTGCTGCTGTCAGCATAGCTGATAATGTTTGGAGAGGAGGTATTACAATGCTGGCAGAACTCCTCCTGTTGGCGTACACTGTGTCTACATGAAGTAGCTATACTGGCATAGGCTCTGTAGCAGATCAGGGAACTGAACCCAGGTCTCTTGAGTTTCAGGCAAGTGCCCTGACCATATTAGGATCATATTTTGAATATCTATACAATCTACAGTAGGGGTGAAGGTATCTCATTTTGGTCACATGTGGAGGTTGGAAGAATATCACCACCATTTTTTACCCCCAATCTGACTCTTGATTTGGACAACTTGTCTTAGGATCTGAATGGAGATCACAAGATTTATCTGACATGGACCATCAAATAAACATCAGATGGTAATACCAGATTTGGAACTTGCAAACCTAAAATGATTCACTTTGTGTCTACGGTTACAAATCTGCTGTATATATAGTATTCAGCTTAATACTGTGGTAGAATAATTTCTGGTTTTAAAAAGTTATTTTCAGTAGAAAATAGAAATCAGTAGATGACTTAATAGAGAAATCTAATACTGTTCTGTTGTGTGAGAAATGCTCCTGTAAAAGAACTTGCACGAACTCGTATATCATAGGCAGAGTGAATAAAGGTGTGCAAATACAATAAGAGTGCTTAACCAAGAATGTTCCCCCGTGCACAAGTATGTCCTAGATTTCACAGCTTAAATCCCATGTATATTTTTGCATCCTTAGTGAAACCAGAGTGGTTTTCTTCATTTGGTACAGTTATAGATCTTCCCTTAAAGGCTTTTTCCTATGGCAATTGCAGACGGAGGTGCTGTCATCAGGTTGAGGTACAAGTTCCATTCCATCTCTTATTTCAGGTTGGCTGGCTTGGTGCTTGGCATATTTCTGAAATATGCAAGTGACATTTAAGAGAGCTGACACAATAGCATGTAATTCATGTAACAGAATTCTCCTCCCTTCCATTCTCAAGTCTTGCTTTAAACACTGCTTCCTACATCAGTTACAGTCTGTTTACTAGGTTTTCATTGAAACACCTACTAATAAACTAAACTGGATCTGGAACTTCCTTTAATGTTTTGTCTTATGTCCTATTAAATGTCAGCTTTAATACTGTCATCAACAGTATGAAACTGCTTAATATAAACACATGCAAATGATCGGTCATATTTTTGCACACTAAACAGTCCAAAAAGTGATGTCATTAACTGTGCATTCATAGGAAATCTGATTCTGTATAGCAGAACAGCAAAGCAATTCAATACCCATACAGAGTAGAGGGTTTCGGAGTCAAATCAGAATTCTGCTTCTTGAAGTGAAAGTAATGTAAATTGCACCATGCACAAACTGGTTGGATCTATACCCTTTTGTTCAATCCTGCATCTCTTTCACATACCCCCTTGGATGGCTAGTTGTCTTCTTAGATGCTTCCCAAGTCCCCTCTGCTAACCCCATTTCTGTGGACAACACTCCTTCTTCTGCTCTCCCCTGCTCCTCAGGCTGTGACCAACTCCTGTTACTCCTTCTTTCACAATATCTCTGTAATTCGATTAATAATGGGCCCAACCTTCCATTTCCATGTGCAAATCTATAGAAGGAAGCTAAAAGGGAGGATCCCTGTGGGGTTCTCAGTTTTCTCCGCAATTGTTACATTGCTGAGTATGATTTGCTCACCACCAAGAAACAGGCCACGGGGACAGCCCACAAATTCCCTGGATCCCCCAGAATCAGTGTGAGAGTAGTGCCATCTGCAACTGACTTGGGTCTTTGGCCTGCCCTGCTACGTGGCAACACAGCTGCCATATTGCCAGGGCTTCCTTTTCCAGTAACCAGAACCAGGGCCACCCAAAGAACCAATGCCATGTTGGGACATTGGTTCAAAGGATGAAGTTGGAGCTAGCAAAAGGAGGAACACTAGCCAAAGGGTCAAAGGCCAACAGAAGATCACCTGTCTTAATCAGAAATAAAGCACTACAAAACACAGAATACAAAGCAGATGGGGTGGGGGTGGGAAATCATGAGAGCCCTTTCACAGTAGGACTGCTGGTAGCTCAGATTGCATCCCAATAATAATGAGGTACATTCTGCCAGAGTTCTTGGATGATCCCTTACAACCTATCATGAACAACATCTTAAGAATAGAAAACTGTAGGGCTAGAACTAGTAGCAGCTATGCGAAAACGTAACCAAATGACACACTGTACTAACCTGGAACACTTTGTAATAATAGCAGTAAAGCCTGTGAGGCTGCAGTAATTCTCTTGCAACTAACTGTCCTTCTTTAGCAATCTTCCTAGCTTCTTCATCATTTACCTGAGAAATTGGAAAGAAACAGCAGTGAATAATAGAGCAATCAGTGAATCAATTAAATTCCAGCATGATAACTCTCATTAAGAGGGCTGTTCAGATCTGTAGTAATAGCTGGAATGCTATCCAATGTACAATTACCGATACAGTGCAAGAACACATTATTTAGTTCCAGGTTTTTAGAATTTATCAGTATGCTTGCATGGTCACAAAGACATTGATATCTTTAGGGCTGCTGGTAAGAGTATTGGTGGCCAATTGTATATATTTGGAAAAATTAGTCAGTTACCGCTCTACTGTATTGTCCAAGTCACAGCCCAGTTCATAAGCAGGTTTGATGTCTCTCACACAGATTTGGTTACACAGAATACAGAGCTGTAGTTTTTGTCTTTTCCTACAGCATGTAATTAAGTGTTTCTGTTTCCAGCTTTGTTCTTTGTGAAGCTTTTCAACTGAACCATCCTTGATTACACACGTGGAATGTGTTTTGGTGATGTGGGTAGTGTACTAAGCATTTTTATTCATGTACTTGTATTCAAGAGTTTTAGAGCTTCATTTCAAAGCTTGTAATGCCCTTCATCTGGTCCTTTGTGAACAACTACAGTACTCAGAACTGAAACATTTCTTGTGTTTCTCACACTGCTAGTTTCAGCTATATTCTACATCAACACAATAATGTTTGGCATATTTATAAATAGCCCGTCTCTCTCATTCTATGTTACAGGAAGGTATTATTTTGGTACATCTGAACAGGATATCTGCATTAATAATTTCTACTCTGTGATCACAGCATTTGAAAAAAAAAAATTAATCCAAGGTTTGAAAGCAATCTTTAAAGATCTGAAAATGTATTTAAAGTTGTTCTATAGCAAAACATTTAAGCACATGCCTAAAGTTAAGGCTGTACTTAAGTGATTTCCTGAATGTGGATGTTTACCTGAATTGGGGCCTTACTTTCATTTAATTAAATGAATAATAATAGCAATATATACACCCTTTATCTGAATATCTCAGTGCAGAGTTGATGCAGAACACAGATTTAGCAATACAAAAGGAAAAGGACCACTAGGAATGTGTTTGTTTATATGTCAATGTACCCCTTTTAACTTTGTTGGTAACAACACTTACCTTAGCCCATTTTATTTTTTCTAGCAAGTCATCAAGGCTTCTTTTAATTGGAACATAATGTTTCCATGGTTTTAATTCACTGTAGAAGTGCTCATAGTATTGAGAGGTTTGTTTCAGTACTAGACTGTCACCCAACATGAGGTATGGGAATCTGTACGCTGCTACTGTCCCATCTACATTCACTTGATATTTGTACTGTAAAGTGAAAACAAAGAAGCAAAAAAGGAGAAAAAAATATTTTGAATCAAAATATCTGATCTTTCAGCCTATTTAGTGTTAGATATATGCACAGTCTCAAAATGTCCTGGAAATAATAAGTATCTAGAGAAAGGCACCATCTTGTGGTTTAGGCCCAAGACTGGTAATTAAGAACCTTTGGATTCTAATCATGGATCTGACACAGATTCCTTACAAGATTTTAGGCAAATCATTTAGCCTCTATGCCTCAGTGTCCTCACTTACCTATCCCACAGGGCTGACCTCAGGGTCAATTAAAAACGTACCAAATACTGCTCACCCTAATAGTGCCACAGAAGTCAATAAATAAAGCAAGATGGATATGGCTCAATATTTGTGAAGTGTAAGCCCAGTAAAAAAAACCCAAAACAACTGACAGTAGGGGTAAGAAAATCAAATGCTTTCATCTAGGTGCCCACCAAAGCTTTTCAGGTCATCCATATCAGCTCCATGTTTTATATACATGAATTCCAAATATTATGCAGTTTATTATGAAGAACCTAATCCCTGGTTGTCCTCAGTTCACATCACAAAACCACAACACAATTCACATGGACACCATGATGGGCATTCTGTTAAGAAGAGTGCTGGGACAAGGATAGAGTTGTGAGTGAGGGAAGCAGTCATCTAGTTCTAGTCTATATCTCTCATGATTCATCTCATTTCAAGAGGACCAAATTTATCCTCAATTAAAAGTAAACAGAGTACTAGTAAACATTGCACTAAAAGTAATATACGGTGTTCACTTTGGAGAGGGCTGTTTTTAGCATTTTTGATATAATCCCTGGGGCAGAACCTCAGTTGGCAGAAAATAGAATAGCTACTGAAGTCAATGCAGCTGTGACAATTTATACCAGCTGAGGCTATGCCCCCTTTATTTCCAGAGATTGATAACTCTCCTGCAACTTTGTTTACAGGATTGCTGTTCACTTTCCCATAAGGATCAGCAGATTCATTACATTCTATTGAAACCACTAAATCAAAGTTAAAATTTTGTAAGGCAAATATAAGGTTTAAAATAATTGCAAATGATAATATTTTTAATATATTAGAGACTCTGAGTTGAATCAGTCCCCAAATGCTCACCTCTCCATCTCCTCATTCACAAGCCTTCCCCTCGAGGTGGTGTGACTTCATACCATCCCCAATGAGTGGCACAACATAACCCAAGCAGTTTCAGAGGACAGAAGCAGAACACTGAAGCCAACCATGCCTGCCTGTTTTGTGAATCACATTTGAAGAATATGAAGAAGAAATAACATTATGGCTAAATTCAGCTGCCAGGAAACTCTGACTGCAGATGTCTACGCATGAGCAAAGTTAAAGAGGACATTTCACATCCTCCCCCTCCCCAGCTGCTGACATAGCAATTGAAGGAGTTGCAGGTTCAAATAAATCAGCAACATTCAATATACTTTTCTGACCCGCTGCTACAAGAACTGGTTTTGAAATACACAGTGCACCTACATCTATATAAAACATGCCCACTGTTTGCATGTTAAATAAGAAATGTACACAGTTACAGGTGATCAGAAATCTGAGTACAAGGCCTGATCCAAAGCCCATGAAAGTCAAAGAGACCACAATGGATAGCACAGTATGTTTTTTTTAAAGGATGTTTTACATGATGTTTTTACTTATGGGTAAAATATCTATTTTGTATGGCCGCATATGCCCAGGGCAGCATAACTGTTTCAAACACTGAAACGCAATCAGCGAAGTTAAAAAGGAAAGCTGCCTCTCTTCAGTTAGTAACCATTTAACTGCAAAGTAAGCCTATGTCTGCAATATAATGTGACATACCTTAAAGAAGTCAAAGAATCCCATGAGCTGAGCCTTTCCCAGCTCTTTCTCCTTGTCTTGGAAGAAGAAAAATCCTGTTATTCCAGCATCTAGTAGCTCTGGATTCTCCTTAGATAGCTGCACCAATTGAAGACGTTCTTCTCGGCTGTCTCGACCTCTAAAGAAAGCTCGCTCTGTTTTGTTGTGCCAGAAAGGGCCTACAGATAATGAATGAGATGGGGGGGAGACAGCCTTGAAATCTTTAAGTTACACATGCTCATACATTCTATATGAATTTGTTATGATATCAGGGTCACGCTCCCATGTATGGTAAAACAGGTATCAACATAACTTCCATTATGAACTTGTTAGTTAAAGAAACATTTAAACCTAACTGGTAAATATCTGCCCTGTCCTGAAGTTTTAGCATGGAAAAATATTCTTAAAATGTAAAATTTAAGTCTTTTTTTCTTTTAAGAAACAAAGAGCTCTGTGAAGCTTGAACGCTTGTCCGTTCCACCAACAGAAGTTGGTCCTATAAAAGATATTACCTCACCTATATTGTCTCTAAGAAAATTGTCTTATTTAATTAATTAAAAATATTTGTCTGAGCAAGAGACCTTCAATCTTAAAAGTCCACCCAAACAGGGGGGAGGGATAGCTCAGTGGTTTGAGCATTGGTCTGCTAAACCCAGGGTTGTGAGTTCAATCCTTGAGGGGGCCATTTAGAGATCTGGGGCAAAATTCTGTCTGGGGATTGGTCCTGCTTTGAGCAGGGGGTTGGACTAGATGACCTCCTGAGGTCCCTTCTAACCTTGATATCCTATGATATCCCAACACATAATTCCACTCCAACTTTAGTAACCTCTGTTAAGCAGCCAATTTTGCCAGACCTTTGAGGGGTCACTTAAAGGTGACCTACAGAGGGGGAAAAAAAGGTGTTGTATCCTTTTTTGGTATCTTTACAATATACAGAGAAAGCCTATAAGATTTTCATTCTGCTTGTTGTTATACTTTTAGAAATATCCAAAATGTCAAATCTTGCCTTTCCTGTTTGTGCTGGTAGTCTCCGTGGAGGACCCAGAGAAGTGGATGGGAGCAGCTTATTCTATCCTTAATTGAAGGAACAGGTATACTGAGTCATTAACAGAGACCTTGTGTCCAAACTGTTTATCAGGTATTTGAATTAAGTAAATATTTGGTGAAGGAGAGGGAGCTTTAAACTGTCTAAATAAACATCACTTCCTCGGTCAGGTTTCATTTTTTTGGTGCTCATCACGTCATATTCCTAATTCCCTAAGCGGCCATAGAGGCTCCCATGAAAAAGAGAATTTTTCTAACGTTCAAACAAACAAATAGGAAAAAAAAAAAAAGCCTGGCCCTTGAGGTTTTCTTTATACACACACAATATTTTTCCATTTTTCAGTGTAGTGAAGGCTGCCTTGCAAGAGGTTATGCATTCATTTTCAGAGTTTAATTTAAACAATTACAACAATAGCCCAAATCCCCTCTCAGGAATTGGACTAGTATTTGGTTAAAGCATTCTAAAGCACTTTACTGGATGAAGGGAGTTATAATCATGATATTTACATCTGTCAAGAAACCACAGTAACTACACTTTACTGGGTGCTTATTTTCTAAAAACATTCCAGTGCAAAATGTAATAATTGTATTTGGCATACTAACATGACAGAGCATAAATCACTTCCAAAGGGATTTTTATGGTCTGCTTTGTGAACTTTTATACCTGTAGGAGGAAGAGATTCTTTTTAACACAAAGTATTGTTTCCAGAACCCAAATGGGAGACTGTTAATTTAAAAGTCAATGGTGTTGCATGGGTGTAACTAAAGTCTGAATTTAAGGCCAAATTTTTAAGCCTGAGTGCCTAACGTCAGACTTTGAAATCCATATTTAGGCACTAAATACGAGCATTTTCAGCTCCCACTGATTTCAGTGGATGTTGTGTGTTCAGCACTTCTGAAAATCAGGCCACTCTTATTTAGATATTTATATAAGTTATCCTGTTTTGAAAATTTTGGCCAATATCTCTCTTTACATATATTCTGTTACTTCACCTTTGATGGGGTTATGAATTGATTTGTAAAGTCTATGAATTCTAATTTACCTGTGTTTCCTTGAATAGAAAGGAGGTCATTTGTAACACCACGTAGGGTTTCAAGTGTTGAATGGGTTATATCATATGTTGGAAGGACTAGGTCTCTTGAATCCACAGAGCCACACCATGAAACGATAGGTATAGGGCCAGGCGTATCATTAGCTGTTCGATGTTCCATTGGCCAATCTCCAACATTAAGATAAAACTCTACATCAGGGAGACGAACCTAGAAAAATATCCAATACAGGACAATTACAGAAAGGTTTATGCTTCAACTACTCATGCTTTAAAAGTAAAGTACGGTCATCAGTTTTCTTGTATCAAAGAATCAATCATTTTCAGTGTTGTTGTAGCCATGTTGGTCTCTGGATATGAGAGAGACAAGGTAGGAGAGGAAGTATCTTTTATTCCACCAACTTCTGATGGTGGAAGGGAGAATGCTGTAGGAGACCACTTAAAATGAAGTGGGCAATTAAGGGGTATCAGACAGTAACGCGTGTTACAAATTGTTGTAATGGGCTCATTATTTACCCAACTGCTGGATACCCCTTAAATGTCCAGGGCCAGCTTTAGGCACCGCGGGGCCCAATTCGAAGGAGCTGCCGCTGAAGTCCTGCCGAAGACAGCGGCAACGATTGAGCTGCTGACGACGACAGTGCCGGGACTTCGGCGGCAGCTCAATTGGCTGCTGGTGCCTTCGGCGGCACTTCAGCGGAGGGACCTTCCTCCGCGGCAGCGATTGAGCTGCCGCCGATGACAGCGGCGAGAGTTCGGTGGCAGCTCCTTCGGGACGTTGCGGGGCCCTCTTAGGGGCATGGGGCCCGATTCCGGGGAATCGGCTGAATCGCCCTAAAGCTGGCTCTGTAAATGTCCACTTCATTTTAAGTGGCCTCCTATAGCGTATGTGAAACCCCTATGCTTAACAATCTGTCCTAACTTGTATTTAGCTCTGACACTCTAGTTACCTTCCCCAGACCTGAAGAACAGCTCTGTGAAGCTCAAAAGCTTGTCCCTTCCACCAACAGAAGTTGGTCCAATAAAAGATTTTCATCTCACCTATCTTGTCTCTCACAATCAGTCAGTCAAGCCACCAAACAATGATCAGCATTATTTGAGATAAAGACACTGACTACAGCCTCAATCCTGCAAGCCATCTGTGCAATTGGAGTTCCAATTCAGGAAAGCCTGTAGAATCGTAGTACCTGCAGTTTTCCTACTGACTTCAATGACTTCAGGCTTCCTAAACAGATGATATCATGCAGATGCAGAAATAAAAATAAAATCTTAGTTTAATAATTAAATATGCAGCAGTCGTTTAAGGTTTGTATGAAAATAAAAGTATGAATATAATATCCAAATGGTAACAAATCTGTGTGATCCAAAAGTCTTATATAGCTGGTACCTTTCTTGCCAATGAGAGCAACATTTCATCTGAGAACATTTTGAAGTCTGTGTACTTCCCTAAGGAACGACGGTAGATGTGATTATTGAGAACAGTGTAATGAACAATAGCACCTCTCGTTTGCCCAAACCTTGTTGGGACTTCATGAAGCATTCGCTGAAGGTTGATGGTGGGAAAAGAAGTGAAGTCCTTAGTAACTTGAGGCTCCTGGGATGGACAAGAGAGAATATTCTGCCAGGTCTGAGAATCTTCTTCTGGACACTCACAATACTCATGATAAACAGGCCCTGCAGAACACAAAGCAATGAGAATGTCTGACTTCTGTGATAGTCTCATCTTACAATGCCCAAGACTCCTGATGGATACAAAAATCTAAAACTAGACCTGGTGGAAGTCTTTTGTTTTTTAGAATAAAAAGACCATCTTTACCAACAAATATTTTCTTGGAAAATTTTCTCTTTCTAAATTGTCTGGGTTTTTGATGAAAAAAATAAAAAATCAATTTTTTTTATTTTTTAGAAACCAAAAACAACTAATCACCAAAACAATTTTATTTTGGCCAAAATCCAAACACAAACTGAAAATTTTTGAAAAAATATTTTTTTAAATTTGTCATGGAAAATATCTACCATTTTCAATCATCTCTACTGAAAAAACAAAGTCGTGTACCAATGTCGTGCTACTGCCAGTGAGCCAGAATGCCTATAGTTATTTAAAGCATCCATCAATACTATTATTCAGCTGTACAGCTTAATTTATCAATATTTTAACCTTTATTTAGAACTTTATGGTGCCACAGTCTTTACATTTAGTATGAGGTGCTTTCTTTTATGTATAATTAATCATGTAGTCTGTCCTTTTGGATCAGTGTGGATTTATACACTGTAATAAGGACTAAGCATTTACGTAAACTTTATTCCATGAACTTCTAGCTAAAAACAAGTACTGTACTCTGTCACACTAGTGACTATGTAAGTATGCTCCAGCACCAATACCCAGGCTACTGTCTTGCTGCAGTTGGACCACATCACACCTATCTACTGTCAACTTCACTTGACATCCACAGTATTCCAATTTTTCAAAACTTTTCATAGTCTTGCATCAACATTTTCTACTGTTGTATCAATCTATTACCCCATCTGCACCTACTCTGGCTACAGTTCTGTCCTCTCCAGGCGAGCAGTAGTGGAAACAGGGAGGAAATTTGCTTTCATTTTTGCTGTTCCAAACTATCTGAAACTCATCCTCCAATTTACTGCCTTTCTTTAAATCTCATCTTAAACCCATTTTTGCTTCAGTTTTGAAGTGTTTTATAATAGTGTGTACATAGGATGCTATACAAAAAAAAAAAAAAACTTTGATCAGGAGAAGGAAAAAGTGGGAAATGATGCTGAAGAAGTAATTTTGTTTTCAGTGTTCATTCTTTTCCCTTGGTAGGCAACCAATCAACTGTGAGAAGAGAGAAGACGACCAAAGAAGCAGACCAGAAATTTGAAAACAGTTTGCAGTGTTTTCCCCTTTTAAGTGGAACTTAGAGTGTAGGGACCAGCATTGATCTTAACTGGGCCTGTAGGAAGAAAAAAGGAGAGAACATGGGGCTGGTTATAAGATTTCAATGTCTAGAAAGGACCGTGCTTTAGAAATCACAAAGGTAAGAATATTTGTTCAGTCCATCTTACGGTAAGATGGACTGAACAAATTATGAATTGCTGGGAACAACATGGATTTCCTTGCTTTACTAGGTGAGGTTTCCTTTAGACAAATATAGCACTCACAGCTAGACCACAGATGAAGAAGTTTTGTCTCTGCTGTGGCACTCCACAAAACCTGAAGGTCACCCTGCAACAAGAGCTAGGGAGGCATGTTCTGAGGCAGGACCTGAAGTTCAGGGACCATGGTCTACATGCTTAAATATTTATGTCTCATAACTTGGCAATGATCTGTATGTAGATTATTTCTGCTCCTTTAATCTGTGTAAGAGGAAGGCTGTGTAAGGGGCTGCTTAAACCAGAAAAAGCATTGGTACCTCCAGTTTGTTACCGTTTCCGACTAGCCAAAGTTTAATCCATAACATTTCTGTAGCTGTCACCATAAAATGGTAAACTGAAAACTTACCTTTCAAAATATAAGGAGACTGAGCTACATGTTCATTACCATAAAGTACCTCAATCTTTAACCCTTCATTGACACTCCCATACATCCGATATTGTATAAGAAATGACCCATCATTCCTATCCATGAGGTTAGGGATGTGGATCCGGATGACTTCTTTGGGGGAAAGTGCTTTAATTCCCACTTTAAACTGTGTTCTTCCTGAAAAGAAGAAAATAAAAATAGCTGTAGACACTGCATGCCTAAAGCCGGCCCTGCAGACGAGAAGTGTCATATTTTTAACAGGGAGAGTAATTAACCAGTGGAATAAAATGGATTCTCCTCCATCACTTTAAGTCTTTACATCAAGAGTTAATATCTTTCTAAAATATATGCAGTAGCTCAAATAGAAGTTATAAGCTTGATGCAGAAATTACTGGGTGAGGTTCTATGGCCTGTGTTATGCAAGAGATCAGATTAGATCATAATGGTCCCTTCTGGCATTAAAATCTACGTTTCATTCTACATAAATTTAACACTGGAGGCAGATTAGTACTTTATATCTGATCTGGTAACATTCTGATCCATAGCAGGAATGATTTCTTAATCTTGTACTGGAAAAGAAGCATGGTATTGCCAACTTCACATGAGTTTTAGAGATGGGAGGCCTGAGTCCTTGCTCTACCTCAGATTTCCTCTGTTATCTTGGGTAAATTACCCACATTTCTCTTAGTTTCCTCATCTGTGACATGGAGATAATAATGCATATGTATCTACTAGCCACACAGGGGTGTTGTGAGATGTAATTAGTTTACAGAAAAGCAATGTATTAGTGCTAAGTATTATTATTAATTACAATTCTTACTGACATTTCTCAGATAGAAGTTTTGAGACTTTTGAAGCACAAGGGAGGCCGAGAGGCATAGGTGACCACACTAAGGACCTGATTCTGCTCTCACTCTAGTTAAGTACCTCAAGCTATTTCACGTTCACACAGAGTAGACAAGAGAAAGTCCTGCTATTTTTCCACAGCAGGAATGAGAAGGCTGTGACCAATGAACAGCCAGGCAATATTTTCAAACGTTATTTGATCTGTGTGGCTGGATTAGAGATAGTTAGTTTGTCCCTACCACTGAAACACAGAGTGTTGGAACTGCTGTACCTAAAGACTGGTCCCAGGAGGCTAATTTATTCTGAACACCCTGTTTTAATGCTGCTAATTGTCTGCTAGTATTTAGGCCACTGGAGAGAAGATGCAGGGTTGCATGGAAAGACACACTGGACAGTAGAAGAGTAATGTAGGATTTTAATGTTTTCGGTGAGCTGATCACAGAGTGAGACTTTGTGTGTTTAAACGTACGTGTATTATTGTGAAATGCGTCTGACGTTGCAAGATGAAAACGTAGCAGTGATTGATCCTGGGTTACTGGTGCCTCGGGCGCTAGGAAGGGGACAGGGGAGGGAGAAAAACTTAAGGCTCTTTGGATCCGCGTCTCATCCTGAGTCAACTCCTTCAGGTGACAGTTTCCTCAGCCCCAGCGCGCCCTGAGCCTGGAGAACAAAAGCCACAGCAGGGGCGGGGGCGGGGGCAAGGAGCAGACGCAGGCACAGTACCTGGGGGGGAGCGGGTGAGGTTCTGTCCAGCTGCGCTGACCGCCTGGATGTAGAAATACCTGACGGGCATCGTGAGCTCCGCTTCCAGCCCGGGCCCCCAAACCAGGCTCCTCTCTGCACTGACAGGGCCCGGAGCAGCCTCCGCCACTCGCAAGAGCAACAGCAGGAGAAGCGGTAGCGGCAGCGCCTCTCCGAGCAGCAGCTGCTGCCGTGACTGGAGCACAGAGGCGCCGCTGCGCCCCATTCTCCGGCCCGGCATGGAGGAGTGCGGGTGGGGGCGGGCCGGGGGCTCAGGGAGAGGCGAGCTGGCTGCCTGTGATTGGAGGGTGCTGTGGCCAATCGGGCGAGAGAGCAACGACCTCGCTTTTTCGCTGCCCAGCGCAGCCCACCCGGCGGCGGAGCGCGGGCTCTGCCCGCGGAGGGGCCCGGCCGTGCGGGTGGCGCGCGCTGTACCTAGCGCTGGGGCGGGGCCCGGGACGCGCGGCGGAAGGCGGATCAGCCCCCTCCGCGCGCGCCCCACCGGCCGGTCCCGCGCGGAGTCCGGCAGTGAAGCAGCTGGAGCCACTCGGCTGAGAATTGCTGTTCCCGTCCCTCGTCCTTGTCACGTCACCACTCTCCGTAACGGGCTCCGAGCCGTGAATGTGGTGAGTGCTGGGTCAGCTGGTCTTCCGCCTCCTCCCTCGCTGTGCACCAGAGGCACGGGGCGGTCCCACACGTGCTAGCAGCAGGGCTGAGTGGGCCAGTCTGAACAGAGAGATGCTCCCATTGTAGGGTAGTTTATGTTCTCTCAGATACTAGTCTAATCTTTTAGAAAAACACCAACCAACCCCTATTTTTAACCCAGGTATATGTCAAAATATATTTATCTTTGAATATTTAAGTTAAAATAATAATTGAAGGGTGCTTCCTGTCACATCAATCAGGGTATCCAAGTGTGTTGTTGGATCCATACATAGACACCATTATGTATGGAGTACAGATACACAAATACACAATATGTTGTTTCACACTCCTATTCAGCTTTACAGTGACATCTCAAAAGAGAATCTAGGCCATGTTTCAGCAAAGCACTTAAGGATGGAGAATCCTTTCCTTTCCTCCCACAATTTGCCTAACTTCTCACCCACTCTGCTCACTGAGGCTGCATTATGCCAAATATCAATTAATAGTATCTAAAACTGGCTGCTCAACATTCTTTTTCATACCCCAGACCATGAATTAACTTTTCCTTTCTTGTTGCTAGGCGGCTCATGGTCCAACCAGCAGAGTGTAAAACAGGTTCCCAAACTAGAGCTTTCCTGAAGTGGGCTTCATAATCTCTCAGGCTTGTGGCATTTGGGAAACAAGGAACCATACTTCATGGGGGGGAGCAACTTAGTAGCAGCCCCATGCTTGATTGATCCTTTCATGCATCTAGCAAAAGGAAGGTTCCTTCTCTTGTCCTCTCACTACATGTAAAGGCCACAATGATCTTCACACATATCATTGCAAATGTTTTTAAAACTATTCTGTTTCAATGATGTTTTGCTACTGCTCAGAATACAGGGCTAGCAAGGTACGTAGATTGTTACAGAGAATATTTCATCTCTGATTGAAGAGAAGGCATTTGTGCCCCAAATGGCTATCTACCATAAAGAGAAAAAAGTATGGACTATAGTACAACTGCAGATGTGGACATCTAATAATTGACAATCTATAGCCGTTTAGCTCCACTGCCAGTACTTGGCAGTTTAACGATTCAAGTCATTCATCTGCACAAGTTATTCCTCTGTGCATAGGTGTCTGAAAGTTGGCTAAATCAGACACACAGTTCTTGTAATACACTGAAAACTCGAGTGTATCCTTGGACATGCCTAGAGCTTATGAAGGATTATGCTTGGATGCTTAATTCTGAATCTTTTAATGCTCTTAGCATTGTTTGGCATCAGTATCCTGAAAGCAGCATTAAGATACACCTCTACCTCGATATAACGCTGTCGTCGGGAGCCAAAAAATCTTATTGTTTTATAGGTGAAACCACGTTATATCAAACTTGCTTTGATCCAACGGAGTGCGCAGCCCCGCCTCCCCGGAGCACTGCTTTACCGCGTTATATCGGGGTAGAGGTGTATTGTAAAAGCTTAAAATAGTTAAGCATGAGTTATTGAGTGCACAGATAAAACCAGTACAAACATTTATTAAGCAATATGCACCATTTATTTCAAACCAGTCATTTTCAGTATAAATATCCTATAATATATAAGCATTTATAGAATATATTCTAGCTAAAAAGAAGGCTTAGAAGACATAACAGGCCACATTCACCACTGGGCAAAAGATGGTGTAGCTCCGTTCAGTTTAGGAGAACTGCATCTTCTTATTGAAAGGGATTAATTTGACCTCGTGTTTTTATATGAGTGACTCTTAACAAAATTACATCAGCCCTATGTAAACATTAGTTACCAGCCACTCTGACCCACCACAGTCTTGCACAACTAATTTAGGACCAAATTCTAAACTATTTTGATTTCTTTGTATGGCCCTCAGTTTTCGTCATATACCTAGCACTGTATTTAATGAAAGCCTCCTTTATGCATCCAATGTGAGAACTTAGTCCAAAATCCACCATATGGGTAGAAAATATTTACAAGTATGAACATTCAAATAATCCAATTTAATGGAGCAAATCATATGACCATTTATCTCCCTGTAAACATGTATCATAACAGAAAACCCTTACTTAGTATTAATTGGTTTATTAATCTTATGGTATGGAACTCTGTATATATGGTGTAAAACCATGTACATAAAATAGTCATAGCATTTCTCATCAGAACAGCACATTTTACAAGTTTACATTTACATGACAATTATTTCCTTCCAATACTGTATGCACCAGTCTGTATGTGCAAATCATTCCAAAATAGATACCACTTAAAGAACAATTCTGAATATAAATATGTAGTTTATATTAGTCTTATGTACAACCAAAGAAAATAAAGTATATAACAACAATATTTATACATCGAAACACTTTCAAAGTACAGCTCCACTTCTTTAACGAAGTATACAATATAAAAAATAAGGGTACCAATTGTCTAATACAATATTTTTCACGTGGAGCATTCAGTGATAGAAACTTCGCTTGCTTTGCCTAAAATATATTACTTTAAAATATCAGGCCATTGTCTTTCCAGTTATAAAAATATAATTTGTGTCTTAGATAATTTTATTAAATGAAAAAATATAGAGAAAATTCTGGAATGAGATTAATTAGAGACCAGATGTGAAGTTAGTGAAGATTAAGTACAAATAAACTTAAGTACAGCACTCTGCCCAATCTTCAGCCAGCACAGTAGTTCCTAGGACTGCTTTGTTGGTGCAACTTATAGTAGCTTTTTGGGCTGTTCTAAGATATGCTAAGGACTGTTTTAGCCCCCTGTTGGGCTGAGGGCTAGGGGAGATGGAAAAGTGATTTAGAGTCACCTTTGCTTTCCCACTAACAGTGCTGTGCCCAGCATGAACTACATGCAGCTAAGGATTGAGCCCATGAAGTGTAGGAAATGAAACACATAGGAAATAAACAGAAGAGAACCAAGTTACAGAATTTTTTAAAAATTTTGTTCAATTTAGTGCTCTATGAAGTGACACATTATTATTAAAAACTAGAATAATCCCCAGGACAAAGGAAGCCACCCTGGTAATGCACCTCAGCCCCAGCCAGCAAAGACTCTTGCTATTTCAACCCTGGATCTTCCATATGATGCTTTAAAAGCAGACTATCACTCATCTGTACTTATCATATTGAGGATTTTAACCCAAATTTCCAGTAGTGAAAGTGTACTGCATGCATCGGTCATGCTCTTCTTTAGAGTTTTTGCCTTGCCTCAATAGGCAAAGGGGTGTGTGTGGGAGGGGTTTAGGGTGGTGTGTGTGTGTGTGTGTGTGTGTGTGAGAGAGAGATTACGATCCACAAAGCTATACAGGAAAAAAATCCCTGGCCACTTAGCATATAAGAGCTCAATCCAACTCTTACTGAAGTCAATGGAGATACTTCCATATCATTACACAATAAAAAGCTCCACATTAATCTTCCTTTTCTTAATAAAATATATATTTAAAAAAAAAGATTTGTGGGAATTTATCTTTTGCTTGCAAAAGAAAATGACAGGTTTAAATACATTTAAAATGGCCAAATTGAGCTTGCATAAATCAACATAGCTTCATTAAAGTCAATGGACCAACACGGATTTACACCAGCACAGGATCTGGCCCAAAATGTGTTACATGTTTATGCCCATCCAGGAACCATCAAAACACCTTTCAGATGAGATCTCACTCTCAATCTTGTATTACAGGATCTCACAGTTCTGATTCTTTATCAGTCTCACAAAGATAGTATTCATCATCCGTGGTGGTATCAGTGTCCGAGTCTGAATAAACCATTGGTTCTTCTCGATAGATGTCAATTGGGTCTCTTGGGGATGAAGCATCTACTGACATTTTGCTCCTAGCAGAATTTGAGTTCAAGAGCTCAGCCCTCTTTAAAGAATCACTCTCTTCATTTCTCAGAAAGCCAGGGTTTTTAAGAAGACATGGTCTCCATAATCTCCCTTCTGTGAGTGATCTCTTGATATTTTCCAGGAACGCCAGTTGTTGTTCTTTTCCAAATATACCAAACTCAATAGAAGGATACATCACACGTCTAGTGCCGTAGGTGGTGGTCCTCTCATCATATGAAGCCCAGTTTTCATTTTCATCTCTAGAGCACAGCTCAGAATAAGATTTAAACTTTCTACTGTACCTGCTTTCTTTAGGTAGACAGTTACTTCCAGAGCCAGGGTTGTCATGGGAATCTTGAGTATAGGTGCTTTCAGAAAAGTGACGTTCACGTTGATTCTTTGCACAACTCATGCGTGACTGATTACTGTGCAGGTTTGCATTTTTTAAACTCTTTGACCGATGGAGGTTTTGATCATGATCACATTCATCTGGGGAAAGGGCCTGTTTCTGTGAACAGACACTTGCCTGCAAATTTGTTATAAATGTGTTTGAGTTTTTGTCAGTTAAAAATGGCAACAGTAGAGGATCATGGGAACTACCAGTACTTGTTCTCTTTTGATTGCCTGATGAATCTGCTTCAGTAGCTCTGGAAAAGATGGTTTGATTTCTGTTTTCCAACCCCTGGCCAAGTTTTTGGGAATTCTTACTTCTTGCAGCGATTTCCTTTGGAAATAGGGTTGTGGGGCTCAGCATGCTTTCCACTTCATTCTCGTTTTGTTTGGGGTTGTTGACTTCTCTTCTCTGTTTGCATGAATTTGCAAAAGGCCCTTGATTCTGGTTTTTAACTAACAATGGAGAGTCATCATTAGTTTGTGATCTCTTATTCTTCTCAGATATTTTGTGAACAGGGCTGTCACAAACACCAGGGGTCAGATTTTGATTCTGGTCTTCATTTCCAGTTTGGAGAAACAGCTGGGTAGAAGCAGGGGACTGCAATGTGTTGTGGGTCATGTTAATCTCTAAAGAAGTGATACCTCCATCATTCTGTGAAAATATATTACTTACGTGTGGTTTTGGGTTTACATTTTTACTACAAAATTTTCGGCTTGTTTTATAAATGGCTGCCACTTCATTTTTAACTGAGGGCCTGTTTTTCCTTTTT